ACCCTCTGCCCTTTACTTCTGTAGAGGCCACCCTAGTGTTCTCTCATTTATCAGACCTAATGGCCCATCTGACATAGCATTCCATCTTGTCCCATTGATTATTCTCAACTTGAAGCCAAAACTATACATTTAATGCTTGTCTTGTGCTCTCCATCCACCTCACTACTGTGTCACATTGAAGTGCTGGCATGAAATTCTCATGGAAATGTCCATCAAAGGAGGGTGCGGGGAGACTCTGAGGAGAAGGGTCAGGCCTGGGATTTGATGTTTGAGAGTGTCCAGGACAGGAGGAGATGAAACAGCTGAAAGAGAGAGGAACAGATGTAAAATTGTGGAATAGCACTTTTACTTGGCAGAAAGACACGCTGCATAGCAGTGATTGTGAAGGAAAGGCGTTCACTGCTGTGGGGGCTAAAGGAAAAGTTGTAATTATTATTGGCTAATAGTCTGTAGTGCCACATGGGTCAAACAGAAAGATGATGAAAAGTGTTTACTGTTTCAGGCAATTAGAGGATAGGACATTGGTAACCCTGGCAGGAATAGGCTAATAATGAGAGAAGTTAGGCCCCAGCTAAGACTAAAAGATGAATTAGAAAAAAGTCCCTTTGCCTCTCTCAATCTGGTGGACACCATTCCGAAGCATCAAACACACAGTGCCTCTGTGAGAAGAAAAGACCCTATTTCATCCCTAGCACCCATGGGAAGGATTTCAAGACTCCAGTCCCTCACCCTGTCCTAGGGTGTTAGGTTCCACCCTCTCTCTCTCTCTTTTTTTTTTTTTTTTTTTGCAGGGAGGCTCCTTTCCTGAAGCCTAAGGGAAATATGCTGATCTGCCAACCATTGGCTATTTCCTTTTCTCCTGATCTAACTACAAAATCCTTTTGGAGAAAGATATATTATTAAAAATTCTTATCCCTGCCTCTTAATTGACATCAAAGCACCCGTTCCACACTAACTCATTTTTTTAAAGAGCTTTACTGAGGTATAATTCACATAAAATTTGGCCATTTAAAGTACACCATTCAATAATTTTTGGTATATTCACAGAGTTGTACAACTGTCACCACAGTCAATTTCAGAACATTTTCATCACACCCAAAAGAAACTCAGTACATTTTCCTATCACCCTCTCACCCTCCCCACCTCCATTCCTAAGCTTAGGCAACCACTAATGTGCTTTCTGACTGTATTTTCTATTCTGGACATTTTATATAAATGGAATCCTACAGTATGTATCCTTTTCAGTCTGGCTTCTTTCACTCAGCCTAATGTTTTCAAGGTTCATCCATGTTGCCTCACGTATCAGTATTTCATTTCTTTTTTATGGCCAAATAATGTTCCATTGCATGGATATATCACATTTTGTTTATCCATTCATCCACTGATGGCCATTTGGGTTCTCTACACCTTTTGGTTTACGCAAATAATACTGCTATACACAATATGTATATATATACATATTGTACATATGTAATATAATACACAATGCTGCTATGAGCATCCATGTACAAGTTTTGTTTGGACATATGTTTTCATTTCTTTTTGGTTTATACCTAGTGGTATACTGTGGAATTGCTAGGTCATATGGTACATCTATGTTCAACTTTTTGAGGAGCTGCCAATTTGTTTTCCAAGGCTGCTGCACCACTTAATATTCTCATCATTAGTGTACAAGGGTACCAATTTCTGCACATCTATGCCTTTATGTACAATTATTTATTTTTTCTAGCCATCCTAGTGGGTGTTGGAAGTGGTATCTCATGGTTTTGGTTTGCATGTTCTTGATGACTAAAGATAATGAGCATTTTTCTTGTGCTTATTGGAGAACTGTCCATTCAAAGCCTTTCTCTGTTTATTAATTGGGTTTTCTTCTAATTTTTGATTTACAAGCATTGTTTATATATTCTAGATATAAGTACCTTGTCAGATATATGATTTGCAAATATTCATTCTGTGCGTTGTGTTTTCATTTTTTAAGATTTATTTATTTGGGAGAGTGTGTGTGTGAGTGGGGGGAGTGGCAGAGGGAGAGAGAGAATCTCCATCAGACACACTGAACATGGAGCCCGAGGCAGGGCTCAATCCCAGGACCCTGAGATCATGACCTGAGCTGAAACCAAGAGGCGGACGCTTAACTGACTGAGCCACCCAGGTGCCCCTCTTTTTTTTTTAAAGTAGGCTCCACACGCAAGGTAGGGCTTGAACTCTTGACTCTGAGATTTAAGAGACACATAGTCTACGGACTGAGCCAGCTGCCCTAGTCTTTTCATTTTTTTTTTTTTAAAGATTTATTTATTTGAGAGAGTGAGAATGAGAGAGTACATGAGAGGGGGGAGGGTTAGAGGGAGAAGCAGGCTCCTCGCTGAGCAGGGAGCCTGATGCGGGACTCGATCCCAGGACTCCAGGATCATGACCTGAGCCGAAGGCAGTCGCTTAACCAACTGAGCCACCCAGGCTCCCCTTTTCATTTTCTTGGTAGTATTCTTTGTAGTACAAAATTTTAAAATTTTGATGGAAGTCCAGTTCATCCTGTATTTCTTTTGTTGCTTGTGCTTTTGGTGTTCATATGTAAGAAACCTTGTCTAATGCCACAATTTAGTTTTAGAAAATTTTCATCACTCCCACAAAGTTCCTATACTTTGTTTACCATTGATCCCCAATTTCACCATAGGCCACTGATCTCTTTTCTGTTTTTCTAAATTTGTCTTTCCTGGACATTTCATACAAATGGGATCATCAAATATGTGGTCTTATGGTCTGGCTACTTTGACTTAGAATTTTTTGAGGTTCATTCATGTTGAAGCATGTATCAGTTTTTGCCTCTATTGCTGAGTCATAGTCTGTTGTATGGCTATGGTCATACAGCTAAAGGACGTTTGGATTGTTTTTAGTTTTTTTTTTTTTTTAGCTATTATGAATATTTTTGGAGCTGCTATGAGCATTTGCATACCAATCTTGGTGTAGACATATGTTTTTGTTTTTCTTGAGAGGATTCCCTAGAGTGGAATTGCTGGGGTCATATGGTAAGCTTATCATTTACTTTTTAAGAAATTACCAAACTATTTTCCAAGGTAACTATAATGTTTTATATTCCCACTGTGTATGAGAGTTCTAGTTTTTCCACATCCTCACCAACATTTGGTATCATCCGTGTTTTTGTTTGCTTATTTTTTTTTTAAACATTTTATTTAATTATTTGAGAGAGAGAGAGAGCATGAGAGAGGGGAGGTCAGAGGGAGAAGCAGACTCCCCGCTGAGTAGGGAGCCCGATGTGGGACTCGATCCCAGGACACCGGGATCATGACCTGGGCCGAAGGCAGTCGCTTAACCAACTGAGCCACCCAGGCGCCCTGTTTATTTTTTTTAAGTAGGCTCCACACCCAGTGTGGAGCTAGAACTCACAACTCTGAGATCAAGAGTTGACGGAGCCAGCCAGGCACCCCTGGCATTATCTGCATTTTTTAAATTGTAACCATTCTGTGTGCGTACATGTGTAATGGTATCTGGTGGTTTTGTTATTTTTTTGGATATTTTTAAAAGATTTTATTTTTTTAAGTAATCTCTACACCCAACATTGGGCTTGAACTTACAACCCCAAGATCAAGAGTCGCACACTACCAACTGAGCTAGCCAGGTTATCTCGTGTTTTTGTTTTTGTTTTTTAAGATTTTATTTATCTGACAGAGAGACACAGCGTGGAAGGGAACCCAAGGGGGAGTGGGAGAGGGAGAAGCAGGCTTCCCGCAGAGCAGGGAACCTGATGTGGGCTTGATCCCAGGACCCTGGGATCATGACCTGAGCCGAAGGCAGACGCTTAACGACTGAGCCACCCAGGTGCCCCTATCTCCTGGTTTTAATTTGCATTTCCCTGATGGCTAATGATCATTTTTTTATGTGTTGCTTTTTTATGTGTTTCGCGTATCTTTTTTCTCTAACATGTCTATTCATATTTTTCTGTTCGTCTTAAAATGGTTTAAATTTTTTTCATTATTGAGCTTTGAGAGTTACATATTGTGGATACTGGTCTGTTAGGAGGTATATAATAATCTGAAAATAATTTCTACATTTTTGACTTTAATTTTCTTGATCTTGCCTTTGTAGCAAAAGAGTTTTTAATGTTAATGAAGTTCAGCTTATCCATATTGAGTTGATTTTATCTGTGGTTAAGGGTCACAGTTTTGTTTTGTTTTTGCTTACGGATATCCAATTCTCCTGCGTCCATTTGTTGAAAGGGGCAGAGACCTTTGAGCAGTGAAGCCTGCACAAGCCCCGGGCGATCCCGCCAGCAGTCATACTGCATGGGGTTGAGCAAATGTGGTAGCGTGTTGGTGCTCCGTGGTGAGCAAAGAAAGGATGGGCGGATTACCAAGGGCCTTGGTCTGGTCTCAGTTCCTTTTGGACGTAATTTCTGCCAGGGCTGGTTTTTTTGTGGTGACTCTGGGCCGTACTACGATTCCCAGCATGCACTGCGCTGGCCTGCCCCCTGCGGAGGGGCAAAGCTAGACAGACCTGGAAGTGTGGCTGCGAGGGAAAGGCTGGGACACGGTTTCTGGTACGGAGATCGATTTCTCAAGGTTTTGGCCTGCAAGAGGGACTAGCGAGCCGAACCGTGAGAAGTACTACCTCCCCACTCAGACACACCCCCGTCCTCTGACCCGCCGTAGCCTCCCTCTCGGATCGAGACCGGACTCGTTTCTTCCTCGAGTTTCCCGCGGGGACTAACCCTTGAAGACGACCAACCGCAGCCGAGAGTTTTGCCGGCCGGGCCAACCAGAGGCGAGATGGAAGAGGCGGGAGTGGGAGCCGCTAAATTGTCTAGGAGAGAGTCCATTTCTCCTGTAAAGGGCGAGTCGCCCCTCCTGGGACCCCAAGGGGAGCAAAGGAGCTGCGGAGGGGTGCGGAGGCGCAGGGACCCCTACCCGCTCGGGTGGGGACCGCGGCGGGGCCGGGCTTACCCTTCAGGAACCCCCGCCAGGTGTCCGGGCCCAGCCTCGGCCACCATGTCGCACCAGACCCCTCTGGGCTCCTCAGTGCCACACGCCAGCTGCCTAGACCTGTGGAGGGAAAAGAATGACCAGCTAGTTCGACAGGCCAAGGTAACACGGTTTCTGGGACCCTCGCTTTGCAGGCCCAAAATACCAGAAAGAGGGTTTCCGGTGGATTTACCGCAGCTGATGGGGAGGGATTGAGTTTGACTTCCCCCATCAGGAGCCAGAAATGACTGGAGAATGACATCCCTTGCCACTGTTGCAAGGGGAGAAATAAGGACTGATCTTCAGTGATACCTCATCCCACATTTGTTAGGTGGCTCAGGACTCGCGTCTATCTCTGAGGCGACAGCAGTTGGCTCAAGATGCACTGGAAGGGTTCAGGGGACTCCTCCATAGTCTGCGGGGTAAGCAGGATCCTCCTCAGGATGCTCAGTTACCTTCCTCCACAGCCAGAGACCAGCTCCTCTTCTGCATTTCTGGGACTGAGAAAATTACTAGGGGGCAGGGGATCCTATTTAAGTCACAGACAGGACTGGAGTGGAATTCTCTTTGGTGCAGGTGAATCTCTACACCCCGCCCTCTCCCTGCCACGCGCCCCGCCCCACCCCCCCCCCCATATTTGAAGAAGTAGTTTCAGAGATGAGCCAATCTGGAGAACTTTCTGCCCTTTCCAAACTGTGTGCAAACGGCCATTTTGGTTGGGGTGAGGTGATCTTTGGGTTTGGATCTTATTTGGGGAATCTTTCTGGGGGAAGTGGTCTGTGAGATCAGCTTGTGTTGCTCCAGGGCTCCCTGCGGCTGTTCCTGTTCTCCCCTTGGAATTGACTATTACCTGCAATTTCATTACCCTGAGGGCAAGCCTGGCCCAGGGTTTCACTGAGGACCAGGCACAGGATATTCAACAGGGCTTGGAGAGAGGTGAGGCCCAGCGATTGCTTTCCATTTCCTTGCCAGACTGGGTTTAAGCCCTTGCAAAGGGGACAAGAGGAGCAATAAAATTTGTCACCTCCATGGACAGAGTTGCCATTCTCTTATCCTCCAGGTGCTCCTTAGACCAGGAGTACTTTTGTGACATTTGGGTTCCCGCAGAAAAAGAAAACCAGAGATGCAGTCCCAACCTTAGCTGTATGTGTGTTCTCTACAGTGCTGGAGACCCAGGAGCAGCTGGGGCCCAGACTGGAATGTGGGCTCAGGGGGCTGTGGGACTCTGTTCTCCATTATTCCTCCCTTCTGCTGGAGCTGCTGCCTGCCCTTCACCACCTGGCTGGCCTGCAGGCTGCCCTCTGGCTAAGCACTGACTGTCTTGGGGACTTGACCTTCCTGCTGCAGACCTTGAATGGCAACCAGGTAATTTGGGAAGTAACCTGGACCTAAGGGTCTCTTCCTATCTCTCACCTGTCTCAGCTGCAGTAGCATCATTTTGTGCTGGAAAGGCTGCTGGGTTGGTGGTCAGAAGACGTGGGTTCTCTCTGGGACTCTTGGTGACCTTGCTCTGGTTGGTCCCTCACTGGGGGGATTCTCTTGAGTGGTTGTTTTTGTTTTTGTTTTTTTAAGATTGATTTATTTGAGAGAGGGAGTGCATGCATGGGTGGGGAGGCATAGGGAGAGGGAGAGAATCTCAAGCAGACTCAAGCACAGAGCCGGATGTGGGGCTCGACCTCATGACCCTTAGATCATAATCTGAACCAAAATCAAGAATCTGACACTTAACCAACCCAGTCACCCAGGCGCCCCTTGAGTGTTTTTTAAAATAGCTTAATGGGGGTGCCTGGGTGGCTCAGTCGTTAAGCGTCTGCCTCAGGCTCGGGTCATGATCCCAGGGTCCTGGGATCGAGTCCCACATCGGGCTCCCTGCTCCTCGGGAAGCCTGCTTCTCCCTCTCCCACTCCCCCTGCTTGTGTTTCCTCTCTCACTGTGTCTCTCTCTGTCAAATAAATAAATAAAATCTTAAAAAAAAAAATAAAATAGCTTAAGGATCTTGGATAGGGTTAGGGCTTTTATTGACCTTGCTGAAGTCATCTCCAAGCCTCACTCTTCTCATCAGTAACCCACACATGGTCCTTGTCCTGTGTATTCTGGGCTTATACTGAATGAGAAGGTGCACTAGAATAGATCATCAGTGCCCCCAAGTTTTTCTTCCTCCCTTTATCCTCGCCCCATAGCTATCTATACCTTAGAATTGAGGGAACAGGAATCAGGAGGACACTTGATTTCAAGGTCCAGCCAGTATAGACTGAGATAGAAGAGGTAGTTCTAGGCTTAGAGCCTCTGATCACCCTTCTTTCCTCAGAGTGAGGCCTCTGAGAATCTGCTGCGGCTTCTGAAAATTTGGAGCCCCCCAGCTGAGGAGACAAATGCTCCATTGACCCTGCAGGATGCCCGGGGCTTAAGGGATGTCCTTCTTACTGCTTCTGCCTTTCGCCAAGGTCAGCTAGCAATCTTACTCATCCCTTCCTCACCACTCCCTGTCTTAAGGGGTCCTTTGGCTCGTACCTTGCCTGTCATGTCCCATTCAGCTCAGTGGAGCTTCTCTGTACTCTTGTTCCCTATCATCCCCTTGCCCTATGGGCTTCTTTAAGTTTAAACCCTGATTGACCTCAGGCCTCCAGGAGCTGATCACAGGAAGTCTGCCCAGGGCACTGAGCAGCCTGCAAGAAGCAGCCTCAGGTCTGTGCCCACGGCCTGTGTTGGTCCAGGTGTACACGGCTCTGGGGACCTGTCTCCGTAAAATGGTAAAGACAGTGCTAGGGTGGGTTGGGGAAACCATGGGTGTTACAGACAGCTTTCTGCTTTGGGAGGGCAGCTGAGGCTTTTGTCCTTTTAATCCTCTAGGGCAATCCACAAAGAGCTCTGCTGTACTTGGTTGCAGCCCTGAAAGGGGGATCAACCTGGGGTCCCCCGCTTCTGGAGGCCTCCAGGCTGTATCAGCAACTGGGGAACACGGCAGCAGAGCTGGAGAGTCTGGAGCTGTTGGTTGAGGTAAGGAACTGAAGATATAGTGATTGCTGAAGTGCTTGTGTTAGGGAGACTAATCAAATTGTAAATAGAAGGAAATAGGGCTCCCAAAGATTATAGACATACTTTTTTCTTTTTGTCCCTTTTAGGCCTTGAATGTCACTCACAGTTCTGAAGCCCCCCAGCTTCTCATTGAAGTAGAGTTATTACTCCCCAGACTTCACCCAGCCTCACCCCTTCATTGTGGCACACAGAGCCAGGCCAAGTACTTGCTAGCAAGCCGATGCTTACAGGTGGGAAGGTGAGGTTCCACTGCCTTGCTCATCTGAGCTCCTCTTCCCATTTCTGATGCCTTCCCTGGGGTATGACTGCTTCTGTTTTTGCAAGTCAGCTGTATGGACGAGTCAGTGGTAGGACATAGGTTTCCACTCCTCGACCTCCTGCCTTGTCACTGGACCTGAACTTAAGACTCTACCCAGACACTAAGCTCTTAGATCTTTAAAACTCTGAAATCTCCTCCCAAATCCATTCTGTAAGGAGGGTAGATCCATACTGAGCTAGGATTGGAGCCCCAAGACCCCACTCTCCCCACTCCCCAGGCCCTTGAGCATCCCTTTGTTAGCTAAAAGCCCTTGGAGGACCCTGCCAAAGGCCTAAGGTGAAGCTCGTGGGCTATGATTTCTCAGGGCAGAGGACGCTGCAGAGCATTACTTGGACCTGCTGGCTCTGGTGCTGGATGGCCTGGAGTCAAAGGTGGGTATGTCTTCAAGATTCTCTGTAATGGGGTGGGAGGGTTGGAGTCTCCTCTGGAGTAGAGCAGGACTGCTATTTTCTCTTTCTTCGGCTGTTCTGTCTGTCCAAGCTGGAAGGCCAGACCAGGAAGGTTCCCAGAGCAAAGGGTCCAGGGTAGCAAGCAATGGGTGGTCTCTATGTGGTACCAGAGCCTGGTGAAGAGGTTGGGGATGGTGGCTAATGTCTCTTTAAGACACTGCATCCTCCTCCCACCCCAGTTCTCCCCGCCCCCTTCCCCCGCAGGGCCTTGTATACCTGAGGTCTTCTTAGAGGCAGCAGCAGCACTGATCCAGGCAGGCCGAGCCCAGGATGCCTTGACTGTATGTGAGGAGCTGCTCAGCCGCACGTCATCTTTGCTTCCCAAGATGCCCCAGCTGTGGGAAGATGCCAGAAAAGGAACCAAGGAGTCACCACACTGCCCATCCTGGGTCTCTGCCACCTACCTGCTTCAGGGTCAAGCCTGGGTGCAGCTGGGGGCCCAAAAAGAGGCGATTAGTGAATTTAGCCGGTGAGCCCAGGAAGCCAACCAGGATCCTAGGGGAAGTATGGAGGGATAATTTGTTGATTGGGACCTGAATTGGTAAACTCCATTCTTACCAACTCACCCCAGAGTTTCTGAGTTTGACTTCTCACCCCTATTCTGTGTCCCATTTCAGGTGCCTTGAGCTGCTCTTCCGGGCCACTCCTAAGGACAAAGAACGAGGTGATCTAGACTCTCAATTTTCCTCTCCCCTTTTAGAAGTGGGGGTGGTGAATGTGTTGCCTTTCCATGGGTCCTAGCCCACCAGGAGACTTAAAAAAAAAAGGGGGGGACTCCAGACATAAGAAGAGAAAGAGGAGTACTTGGGGTTCTGTCATACTAGGTGCCTGTGTAGCAGGGACACACTTTTTGACTTTGGGGTGGTCCCCAGGGCCTGCTTCCAATGGTGAGAAGGGTTGTGTATCAGATATGACACTACAACAGCTTCGGGCAGCTGCCCTGATTAGTCGTGGACTTCAGTGGGTGGCCAGTGGCCAAGATACCAAAGCCCTACAGGACTTCCTCCTCAGTGTACAAATGTGCCCAGGTATGTATATTTGCATGACATCAGCTATGCTCAGATGCACAAGGACAGAGAGGCTCATAGGGGGGCCCTTGGGGATCAGTGGAAGAGTGATGTTCCCAGATGAATGGGGTTGTACTTATATACCTAGGGATATACCCAGGTTTGAAGACATTTGCAAGTGTGTGTGAAGGCTCTCCGGAGTTCCTCAGTCTTCCCAATGTCCTCAGAGACAAAGGCTGTAACTGTGCTGGGAGTATGTTGGGGAGAAGCAGAGTCAGCTGAGCCCTTTGTCTTGGGCAGGCAGTACCCAGGGGTAGGAACGGTTGGGAATGGAACCTGGTTCCATGTGTGACTGTAGAAAAGATACTTTCCTGCTCTAGGCCTCAGTTTCTCCTTTTATAAAATGCTTAAGGCTGTGTCAAGTTCTAAGCCTTTCTACTCTGGGGTGGGGCTACAGGTAATCAAGATGCTTCCTTTCACCTGCTTCAGACTCTGAGGAGGATGGATCGGAGGGATGAGGCCACTGCTCTCTGGTGGAGGCTAGAGGCCCAAACTAAGTTGCCACAGGAGAATGCTGCATGGTGAGGCTGAGGCCTGCGGGCTTGGGGCTGAGGGCATCCTGGAGTCCTGGAGTCTGTTGGGGGTGGTGATGAATGAAAGGGAGGGAATGGCTGCCCAACCTTCCACCTATCCTTCACCCTTAGACATCACTCTTTTTGCTCTCCAGGTCTCTCCCCCTGTACCTAGAAACCTATTTGGGCTGGATTCGTTTCCCTGACCGTGAAACTCTTCTTGAGGAGTTTGAGACATCTCTGCCGGAGCCTTGTGATCTGTAGCTGCCACATTTTAAAGAGTCTGAGCTGGGGCTCCAGTGGCCCATTTCTCTGGGGGAGGGGTTTTCTGCTTTACCATTCTTGGGGGATGTGGGTGAAACTAATCATTCCTATATAAGTCTGGCATTGGAGAAGTTGGTAGTAGTTCTGCAAAATTTGGCCTAGTTACTGCCATTCTGGTTCCAGAGGAAGCCCACTTGCACCATAAAGGCATTAACTTTGCTTATGACACCTTTTTTCCTGTTTTCCTTTTAATTGTGTTGAGTAAAATTTCATATTTATCTCTCGTTTGCCTACTACATATACTTGAGTGGGAAGGCTCACAGCTGTCTGATTCAGTTGAGTGATTATCTAAGATGCCCTCTCCCAACATCATCTACCTTATGAGATTTGAGTTCTGGGTAGAAGAAAGGGCCACAGGAATCCTTGCAGTGGCTTTGGTTCTTTCTGTTGCCTAAAAGCCAGAGTCTCAAAGCCCAGGATCCTGTGCAAGGTCACAGAATGAGTGGAGCTGGGTCTGGAAGGTGGTCTGGGCAGGCCTCTCAGGACAGGGGCAGGTTTTTGATTCTTAGAGGGGAGGGACAAGCAGACCTCTGAGTCTCTGAGTGACTCCCTACCCCAATCCAAATTCTAGAAATTTGGGATTTGACTGTCTCAGTCAGTCATGTCTGTGTGGATAGGGGGTAAAGGGTAAATTAATTTAATCAGCATGATACCAAAGCTGTTTATTGAATTTAGTCAGGGCTAGCTGGCATTTGGGGCCCAAGGACTTCAAATCTCAGCATGCAATTTTCTTGCTGATTTGGGTTCTGTTGAACCTACTGTGTTCTGTAGTTGCCTTTTGACCCGTTTTTGGAGTTGAGTGCCCTCCCTCCTCTAACCATTAATATAAATACCCAGGGGTAAAAGGAAGCATGGACCTCCAAGCCCTGAGGAAATGTAAAGCCTATGGGATTAGGGTTACCAGAGGGTGCCACAACAATAGGGTGGAATGGATTAAGAGCTGGGGTGCTAGTCAAAGGGTTCAGAGTAGGGATGGCTGAAGCCAGCGTTTTGAAGGAGCCAGGAGAGGGGTTAGGGTGGAGCCTTAGGTTTGGGAAGGAAATGGGTATGTAGGTTATCACTGCAGCAGGACTAGACTAATACATGGGTTCAATCCATTGTGCCAGGTTCTTCAGCAGGGTAAAATCAGGAGCCAATGAACTGGAGCCAAGTGGGAGAGTCCGCCTCCAAGGGATTAAAGGCTCTTTCGCCAGTCGATCTGGCGTCATCCTTTTTGTTGATTGGTCGCGAATCCCAATCCGTCGAGGAAGCGTAGAGCTGCGACCAATTGACGTGGCGTTACTAGGCGTGTTGCATCCCTGAGGCGGGAGCCAGGCCGCAAGCGAATTTCCTGATTGGCTCTGGTCCGCGGGTTGCTGGGGAGAGGCGCGGAGAGGCGGGCGGGAGTCCCCAAGGCAGGCGCTGATTGGCTGAGGTGAGAGCACCTCTCCTTCCGATGATTCGGCTCTTCTCGGTTCAGTCTCAGCGCAGCGTCTGCAGCCGTCGTTTGAGTCGTCGCTGCCGCTGCCCCCTCCCGGATCAGGAGCCAGTGTATACCGCCCGCCCACCGCCTCGGTTCCGCTAGGAGGAAGCGAGAAGGAGGCCGCCTGCGGGTTTGTCGCCGCTGCTCGCCCCCTGCCCGGGAGAGCCGAGCCCCGGCCCCGTCAGTCGCTTGCCACCCCTCGTAGCCGTTACCCTCGGGCCGCCACAGCCGCCGGCCGGGAGAGGCGCGCGCCATGGCCTCTGGAGCTGAGTGAGTGTGTGCGCGCGCCCGCCCGCCCGCTGCGGGTGCGCGCACCTGGGGACTCGCCGCGCTGGGTAGGCCCGGTCGGGCCTGGCCGTGGGCGCGTCTAAGAGGTGGAGACAGGAAAGGAGGGAGAGAGGGAAGGGAGAAGAAGGGGGACGATGAGGGGCCGCGGTCCGGTCTGGGCCTGGCTGCGCAGCCGCGCGCCCCCTAGGCCGGGCTTGCGTTGGGCCTGGGTCGGGGCCTGGGCCAGATCGTGCTGTGTCATGCAGGCCCAGCCGGCCTGATTGGCTCCCTGGGAACCGCTGTCCTGTTCTTGTGAGGTGTGCGGGTCCACATTGCCGGCGCGGAGCCCCAGAGCCTTAGGACGCCCACCTGCGATCAGGTTTACTATACGCCGAAGGCCTTTGGTCCCCGGAGGGAACAGGCCCAGCGGGCCCGACACCCAAACTGGGCCCGGTGGGCGTGGACTTTGGGCCACGTGAAGGCCTTAGGAGCCGGGAGACCGGCGGAGGCCGGAGCGGGGAAGACTCCGCGAGCTCGGGGAAGCTCACCACGGCTTTTTTGGAGCTGGGTTGGCCTGGCCCTTGGTTGACATCCTCACGACCTGAGTAGTGAGGAGCTTTTAGGGAGAGAGCGGGCCCTGCGTTTCCTTTCTGGCCTTCTTCGTACTTTAGGTTGATATGAGAAAGCTTTAGTCAGTTTTTCTTAATGTCATGAAATGGGGGCGGGAGGTAGGAACTTTTCTCTACTGTTCTGGGCTTTTGCTAAAGTTCGAATCTCAGTTGGTAATTTGCGGGCCTTCCTCGATTTCAGCCTTTGTGGTGAGAAGGTTAGAGTTGCCCTAACTCTTTGAACACACAGGCTCCTTTCCCCAAATTGCTGTGTTGAGAAATCTTGGGCCCTCCATCCCTCAGGAAAGCATCAGATAAAAGCTGACCACCTCTGCCCATCTGCCCATTATATTTAGAATCAAGAGCTTTAGGTACTGGGGGGGGGGGAGCCATCCTGTGGAAACTCTTCTATGCAAATCACTTTCCTGACTTGAAGAGAATTTAGTGTTTTGAGGTGTGTTCCCCCTTTTTTTTTAAGTCTCTAAACCGAGATGAAGTATTAGTTGGATGTCTATTTAAAAGGACCATTACTTATTAATACTTATTCTCTTAGGTTATTCAGTCATTTATTTTCAAGACTGAAAATAAGAATTCAAAATTCTTGGAACCTGGCATCATAGATGGTTTCTAACCCCTAGGTCATCTTGATAACTCTTACCTGAACTCCCTCCAAGTCCCCTGTGGCCCATTGGAGTTCTGGAAAGGGCCTGACTCATGCAGAAGACAATGGGGGATGTCCCCAAAGAGCCTCCAGGACTGCTGTTGGCCCACGATCAGGCTGAAGCTCTCTTTTAGAGGTTACTTCCTTTGATCTTAGTAGATAGATACGGAAGTAAAGGTCTTTACCTTAAGGGAAGGGCATACTACTCATCTCCATTGCCAGGGTCAGGAATGGTAGGCAGATAAGTTTTCCTAGAATGCAGCTTTGGGGTTAAAATACAAATACAAACTATGATGAGTAGAGGCATCTGGCATTTTATTTTTCTCTAGCTCCAGTCCCATAGATTAAACAGGAAGGTGGGCAGTCCTTGGAGGGTATTTTGATGTGTGAGAGAGAGGGGAGAATTGATGGGTTTAAACTGCCTTTAGCTGCCATATTGACCATGCTTGTTCTCCAGGGTGTTGATAAGCACTGGAAGAGTCTGCCTGCTATGCATCATTGTGCCTAGAGTGCTACACTTTTAGGTTGAGGAGGCAGGTTTAAGCTGAGGAAACTCCACTCTTGGAAATGAGTTTTAAGGTGATGATTAAATATGCAGCCTATGTGAGAGGATCAGCAGAAAGCTTACAACTTTGTTAGATGAATGGGATCAAAACCAAAAGATGGAGAAACCCCACAACTCCCTAGCTGGTATTCTGGAGTATAGACATCTTTTTTTCTTGTAAGTTGTGAAGATATATCCAACAGGAATACTGTTTTGTTTTGTTGACTGATGTATTTCCAGACCATAGGATGGTGCCTGGCCTGTAATGTATACTTGCTAATTTGTTAAGTGAAGGAATAATTAATGGAAAAGATTCCTTTTTATTTCATTTCCTCCATTGTCTGGCCTCCCTGTTTTGGTTAATGTTCAGGTTTTCCTGGGCTTTAGTAAGAGAAGGTAGCTTTTCAAAGGGAGAGCCCACTGAGTCTAGTTACTGAAGGTTGAAGATGAGCTAAGTAAGAAGTTGGTGTAAGGTGAATGATCTAGGAAATGATTGAAACTACTTAGAGGGTTTAAACTGAGCTTGGACTCAGGCAGCCTTGGTTTGGGTGAGGGATGTGGATTTGTTCCACATCTCATCATTTCTTGGTTTTGACTTTTTGAACCAACATTGTAGAATTACATGTCTGCAGAGATTTGTAAAGCTGTTTTTGAGCTTGAGCGTCTTTTTGAAGGTTTCAGATCTGTTAGTTTAGTTGTTTTGTTTTCCCCAGATATTATGCTTGGCATTTCTGTGGTATATAGAATGCTCTGGCATTCAGCTGGTCTAGCCAGTAAGGATGGTAGTGCTAATGATTTTGCTTCATTGTCCCCAGGCTTGCTTGGTGGGACTTTGGGCCTCGCTGAGCCCTACAGGAAGTTGTCTTGCTCACTTCATTCTCCAAGAAGGTTAGCAAAGAAATAGCTTATGCTTTGTTCTGCAGTGCTAATCATTGTGACCATTAATACCATTGGCCAGGCATTGTGTTGAACATTTTGCATTCATTATCTCACTTAAGACAATAATCCTCTAAGACAGGTACTACTGTATTCGCCTCTTTACAGATGAGGACATCAACATCCAGAGAGGTTAAGTAACTTGCCCGAGATCACAATTAAGCAGTGGCAGGGTTGGGATTCAGATCCAGCAGGTCTAACTGCAGAGCCCCTTCTCCTAATCGCTATCTCATACTAAGACTATTGTCATTTCTCTAATTGTTACTCAGCCTTTACTTCTATTTAGTCTTCTCAGGCCATAGTTTTGTGACTCTGGGGCGGGGCAAGATCACTTGGGGTCTTTACAGCTAGGATACCAGCGCTCAGAATACCAAGAGCTGCTGGAATGGGAACTGTATGTGCTAAATGTTACTCTATATGACCTTGGCTGAATATCCTTATCTCATCTCTCTGATGTAGGGACAGCTTCATTTATCCACTATTTCTTTCCTAAGTGTGAGTTTTAAAGATTGGTGGGGCCCCTGGGACTGGAGTATGTATTGGGACTAACTTCATTTTCTCTTTCTAGTTCAAAAGGTGATGACTTATCAACAGCCATTCTTAAACAGAAGAACCGTCCCAATCGATTAATTGTCGATGAAGCCATCAATGAGGACAACAGTGTGGTGTCTTTGTCCCAGGTAAGTTGGGTCCAAGGTCCAATCTTTCCTTGTTGCACTTAACCTGAGGGCTTTTCCCAGGTTT